GATGGCCTCCAACCCAATAGCGATGTTCTCCCACCTAATGGCGGCCTCCAACCTAGCAGCGATGGCCTCCAACCTAAGAGCGATGGCCTCCAAGCTACTAGCAATGTTCTCCCACCTAATGGCGGCCTCCAACCTAAGAGCGATGGCCTCCAACCCACTGGCGATGTTCTCCCCGTAATGGCGGCCTCCAACCTGGCAGCGATGGCCTCCAACCTAAGAGCGATGGCCTCCAACCTAAGAGCGATGGCCTCCAACCCAAGAGCGATGGCCTACAACCTACTAGCGATGTTCTCCCACCTAATGGCAGCCTCCAACCTGGCAGCGATGGCCTCCAACCTAAGAGCGATGGCCTCCAACCTAAGAGCGATGGCCTCCAACCTACTAGCGATGTTCTCCCACCTAATGGCGGCCTCCAACCTAGCAGCGATGGCCTCCAACCTAAGAGCGATGGCCTCCAACGTTCCAAGAAAACACGCCAAGAGGGCGAAGGAATCTTAGAGCGTGAAACCTAGCCCGCTTTTGCAAAACGGCCAGGCAGGCACCCTGTCACCCACGTTGCGGGGCTTTGCGAAAATGAAGCCGGAAGGCCCAAAGAGAACAAACAGCCAGAAACTAAGAATTCCAGCCAGCAAGGGAAGCAAGGCCATTCACAGGACCCTTGCAATAAGAACTAAGTAAGGGCCAACAAAACCTTCAAAGAAGCACGTTTTCTCAATTCTTCCAACACGTGTTCCATCGTATTCAGCTCAAACTACGCCAACGAAAGCATCAGGCACAAGCAGTGTCACAGAATCGATGCGCACTCGGGTGAGTCTCGGAGTGTTTGTGTTCTTTCGGGACAGGGGTGGCAACCTTTTGCAGAAACATCCAAAAAAGAAAAGGTTGCCCTCTTTTTCCATATATAGAGATATACAAAGATATATAGAAAACATTCCATGAGATATACAAATGTTTAGTTCTTCCTCTTGTTTCCCCCCCCGTCCTTGGCACCCGAAGGCTGCACTTCCAAGACTTGCAACACATATGCGCCAGTGGCTGACGCGATGGTCCCGCCCAGGTTGTGGCAGCCGGCCAGGAGGGCATACATTGTGGCCTGCGGAATCAGAACAGGGACGATGGAGTTTTACCTGTTCATGCGCAATTCACTTTCACGGCCTCCAAGCCAGGCGGGCACAACTGCGACAAAATCACCACCCCGGGCCTCAAGGTGACTTTTTGACACAAAAAATCATCCAAAATGGAACAAAGGGCATCGCTGGAAGCAGCGGAAAGCCCACCTGAAGGCCCAAAAACCATTGTGGACCGTTCTTCCCTTTTTTGCTGCGGCCTCCAACCAACCTACTAGCAATGGCCTCCAACCTAATAGCGATGGCCTCCAAGCGAGAAGCGCCCAAAAACATCTTCTGGGTGACCTATCCAATGATCTCTTGAATCATGGAAGAAACTCCTGCATGCCTGCTCGCCTGAAGCAGTGCAACAACCTGTGGGCGCATCTAAGTATATATATAACCCTTCCCGGTACCCATCAAGCACTGGAATGGAATCTGAATTTTTGCCATCAACTTCATCACATCACGCAAACCACGCGTGAGTTTGTTGAACTCCAAGGATGGAAAGAGTTTTGCTGCTCTTGTCTTGCAATTGTCAAGGATTTCTGCGCTCCTTCTTCAAACCTGTGTCTCAATGTTACTCCCCCTTTCTGCTCAACCTCTGTGACGTCACAGCAATCGCCGGTATTACCTTTGTGGCTGGCTGGGTTATGGGCTAAATCATCATGAGACAACAACAAACCTGCAAAGCCGCGGGTAGAAAGAAGACGCAGCAGGTTCAAGAGCAACTTATAAAGAAAGACAGGAAGCTACTAATTGTTAGGATCCGGATGCAAAGGGCCTGGCCGCGGCGTTTGTAAGTTCTGGGCAGACTCAACAACACATCGAAAAATGATTAAAGCGTCTCTTCAATAAGGCGTGTTTAAAGTGGCCGCTTTCAAGAGACCTTTTACTCGTTATATTCAAAAGGCCTTTTACTAGCCCCTTGCTACTGGTAGTAGTAATGGCCTCCAACCTGATAGAGACGGCCTCCAACCTACTAGTCTTTCTAGACGCCTTTTCCTTTTCTTCCTTCGTCTTTATATTCCAAAAAAGTGCCAACACGGTGCTGTCACACGTGCTGTCTGAGGAACATCCACTGCCATTGGCTCAAGATAGATGCAAAGACATTGCTCCCAAGAATAAAGGCGTGGTCGGGGATGCCCATTCGGACATTGAGGCGGAGGAAGAAAATCACATCAGAGATACTCAAAATGCAAATGGCAATGTTGCTCACCAGCAACAGCTGCCGGAAGGTCCACTCACTTGCATACTTCTGGTAAGTGTAGATGCCGATCAAGGAGCAAATAGATCCAGCCACTCCCAGAGCCGTGGTGTAAAACACCATAGAAAAATGAGGGCCTTCAAGACTGTCAACCAAACATGAGAAGCGAAACACCAGAATTCTTGGAGCTAGGTCTTAAGCTGCTTGTTAGGGTGACACGCTGGAAACATACGCGCTGTTGTGTTCTTCATGCGACGACCAGGAATGCAAAAAGGTGAATCGTTGACGGCCATTTGTTCAACCCACTGCCAATGCGAGGACGCAACCAGTAGCAGGGCTCCTTCTGCAGACCGCCGAAAAATGAAATGATAATGGGGCGAAACAATCAGTTCTATGAAGAATTGGAGAATGGAATGCCCCGCAAGCTCTCTCTTTGATGGGCTACACATTCCCGATTTGTCCTGTGTCATCCTGGGGCCGTGTCCGATGGCAGTGGCAGCACACGTAATGTAACGAACGTCAAAATCGAGACTGCACTGCTCTGGATGTTTGGATCTTTTCTACTTTGGATAAGATGGCTAGGAGTAGCCCATGCAGCTATCACAAGCAACAGGCTTAGCTACTTTATGCAAGGGCGCAGTTGAACAACTGTCGATGTGTGAAACGGTTTCTATAGTAGATGTTTGGGAAATGGCGCCTCCCTCAGTAGTCTGAAAAACAAAAATGCTGAGGAGGCCATCGCTCTCAGGTTGGAGGCCATAGCTCTCAGGTTGCGGCCTCCATCGCACTAGGGTGGAGGCCATCGTTACTAGGTTGGAGGCCATTGCTATTAGGTTGGAGGCCATTGCTAGCAGATATATAAATCTCGAATTCAGTTGAACAACTGCCAGGCCTTCAGGATATTGTTCTTTCGTGTCGGTATAGAAGTAGAAAGCCGCCCCACCCACTGAGAAGTTCACCGATGTCTGCAAGACAAAGAAGGTGTTGACTTTAGCAATTTCCGGGCGGAGCAAGACACTGAATGCCAAGAGAATCACAGCTGCAATGACTATGGAAGCAATGGCGTTTGCCCTGACATCCCGAAGCATCGTGCCAAAAAATGAAAGAACCAAGGTCGCAGCCAACATCAAAAAGCATAGAATGCATGCCTCCTTTTGTCGCAGGATATCCGCCCTGGCTGCCTGAACCTCTTGCGAAGACAAGCGTCGTTCTTGCATGTAGCCACGCAGGACCGGAACGATGACGATGCTCGCAGGCACCAATGTCACCAGGAAAGGTAGCTTTGGCCCAAAGCTGGCCATGATGGGCCCAATCCTCACAGAAACTTATAAAACTATGCCACCTCGGGTGACGTGAACACAAGATGCAAAAATATGTGTGTTGTATTATGTTGTATCATTGTATCATGTGCCTTATCCACAATGCACGTGCCCAGCATATCTCACAAAACGAACGTGTTTCATCGTTTCATCCGAGGCTCAAGAGAGTCGCCACAAGACCGCCCACCTGGAGGCCGAACCAGACGAAGGACATCAAGGCTGGTCCCTCTTTGGGTTTGGTCTGCATCTTCTCGGCATATTTGGCCTCGGTCAGAAGGTCCGTGGTCGAGAGTTGCAATTGGATGAGGAAGATGCAAAGGACCAGACTCGTGATGCCGAGGCGATCGCGTGGCACTGAACCGATACATGTCATGGCAGCAGCGCCCAGAACGGCCACAAGGAGGATATATGGAGATTTGTTGTAGCCGAAGATCGGAACGGCATCGCTTAAGAGCCCGATCATGGGCTTCATGGCCCATGGCAATTGGGTGACACCCCGGTAGATTTGCATTTGGGGTCCAGGCACCTTGTAGCTTCCATACAAGTATGCGATGCAAGGGGCGATGAACTCATTTACGAATCCTTTCATCAGATGCTGAGCAACGAACAGCATGAGCAGCAGCTCATGGCCGAAGCTCACTTCCAAGCGTTGCATGTAGGCACCCAGGCCACAACCATCTTTGGCAGTGACAAGCAAGGTCTGAGGCTTGGCTGGTCCATCCAATAATGGCGACTCTTCGTCTAAATCTCCTCGATCCTCTTCACCAAACGGCTCCGACGAAGACCCTGCTTTGCCTCCACGCTTCATGGCAACATGAGTAAGTAATGCAGGTTGGAACGTGGCATGTTCACTCGTCCGAGCCGAGCGCTGCAACCAAACAAGCGGAAGAACATCAGTCACGTCACGCCAAGCCGAAGGCTTTTGGAAGAATGTCACAACGTGGCGCCTCGGTTTTTCACGAGTCGAGACAAGAAATCGGTCTTGGAAGTCTTCCGTCGTTCGAGTCTCCTGAAACTTTTTGGCGGCCTTTTGTAAGAGCAAGTTTGTAGGTCTTTGTTGGCTCAGAGAGATAAAATTGCCGAAAAGTGCCTCATCCAATGTGTGCACTCAATATCTAAGCTGCTCTCATTGAAAAAGATTGGTGGACGCCAAGCTCACCATGTCGGTGGAAGCCAAGCTCATCTTGAAGCTGCAGCACCTGCATGGTGGCAAATCTATCCGAATCCTAAATATGGTACGGAACAGCTGTTTGCACTACACTGTTTTCCCGTAGATCCTGAGGCCAGCGCCATGCATCAAAAAGTGGAAGTATGGCACAAGCATCACGTGGAAAAGACCGTGTCCCCAACCTTGCATGGTTTCAGGTTTCAAGGGAGGTTCGAAACGATGGAAGCCACCGCTAGTACGTAGGTGAGGCCATGGCTAGTAGCTTGGAGGCCATCGCTAGCCGCTAGCAGCTTGGAGGCCATCACTAGTAGCTTGGAGGCCATCGCTAGCAGCTTGGAGGCCATCGCTAGCAGCTTGGAGGCCATGCTGGCAGCTTGGAGGCCATCGCTAGTTGTTTTGAGGCCATAGTCGTTTCCTTTTTTAACTCTGGTCCAACTACGCAGGGCGCCTCCCATCTTGGGATTCAGAGACTGGAAAACACATGCGAGGAACCAGGACCTCAAAGCTTGCAACCGTTCTCCACTAGGAACAATGAAATGTTTTTTGATTGAAATGCAGGGCTGCAAGGACCACACCCGGCAATTCCTGCGTAGTTGCAGTAATCACTGCGGACGAGAACCGGTAAGGTGTACAGGAAAACCTGCAAAAGGGGCCAGCGCAGGCGCAAAAAGCCCATTGTTGATCGAAGCGATGGCCTCCAACCTACTAGCGATGGCCTGAAACCTAGTAACGCCCTCAACCCTCCCAAACTCAAGACTCACAATGCTCAGTTGCAAGCACAGAAGGCCACCAAGTAGTTCTCGTGTCTGCCACCACGCCTGCACCAACCGCTTCTTTTGTGCCAAGTGGATGTATTTCCCTGCCTGCCTTTCACAAATCAAAGTGTGCAACAAAGAGACGATGCCTCACATGATGCGAAAATATGCAACTCTGACTGTTGGATACTTCCTGAGTGTCTTGCATCCAATGTTGATGATCGTTATGAAAATTGTGTATTCCAGGTGGCCATGCGATTCGGCCCAACCGAAAGCCACACAACCTTGTGCCCAGGTGATTCCGTGAAAGGCATGACGCAGTGAAAACTGAACACATGTTGTGCTTTCCAAAGCCTAGCGACACAAGTGTATGGCAATCAAGTCTGCCGTTCGAAACGGTGTGCAGAGTACATCATATCCAGGTGCCCTCGGCAAATTTGCGTGAGGTCGCCAGAACTTTGCATCATGGCAAAACTGGAAATCGCACGCATTCTCTTGAAAATGTTGAGTGGCCCATCATAGACAGCGTTGGAAAGGTGATATGCCATGCTGATGGGGCAGTGAAATATGGCCGCGTATGCCAATGCCCACACACCTGGAGAAAAACAGAGGGCAAACAAAACTTGTCCATTTTCCTTCTTGTTGTTCTTCCTGTTTGCTACCTGCCTTGCGGAAACGCTGCCGATGCTGCAATGTCAGGCGCTCGAAAATAACCATGGAGTGCTGGAAGCAACATTGTGAGCGCACTGAACACCTGAAGGAGGGGAAAAACAGAATCGATGGCCCCCAACCCAATAGTTTCCAACCTAGAAGCGATGGCCTCCAACCTACTAGCGATGGCATCCAACCTAAGAGCGATGGCATCCAACC